ATATGCTATCTGCACAATGGTGCAATTATGATCTAAACATTTTCCCACACTTTTATATTCAGCCTAGCAAGCCTAGCAAGTCTAGCAAGCCTAGTAATATTCGCAATTGAGTCCTTGAAAGCTGTAAAATTTTGTTCAGTAATTATACAATACCATGCGATTTCACATCATTTTGAGCTTTTGTTATCATCATTGCACCAATTAGGGACTTCACGTACGTGTGAGTGTCCGTCAAAGCAAAAAACATTATCTACGTCCGTTATGAGATCAGAAATATTGGACGGATGGCTGTTGTGTCCGCTTAGATGTCCGTTTTCTGCTTCAATAAAATTGGGCGACAAATGTTTCAAATATCAACTCAGCGACCTTTTCCGCTTCTGTATCAATAGTTTTCGTCAAAATAGTACAGATGCTGCGATTAATTTCGATTAAACGTTCGAATGAAATTCTATTTTCCTACCTCCACATGACCTTTTTAAAGTATTCAAATTTTTTCTCGGCTCTGACATTGTGAACAAATAAATGGTAAGGTTCGATCGTAATTTTCTCCAAAGATAAATACAACCATTTCCTGCAAAAACCTGCAATAATTGATGACCGGAATGTCATTTCCTCAATAATTAGAAATGAAAAATCATTCAATGAATATCAATTCCAATATCGAACTCTATCGATATATCATAAAACTCATATTTCAATAGTATTTTTAACGGGGGATATTCCGCCTTTGAAATATTCTCGACTATCTCGATGAGGAATTAATATCAAAAAGTTGAGGAACCAAAAAAAACATTAAGTTATTCAAGATTGTCACAAAAACTTACACTCCTAACAGACGAATTAGCTGGTTGAAATTTAAGGTTTGGTTGAATAAAAACTTCATTATCGATATTCAAAGATGTCTTCAGCATATATTTACAAAAAATTTACATTTAAAATTAGCGCAAATGTCATCAGCTTTTATATCGTACAAAAATTAATTTTATATTAAAGATGTGGCTGTACAGCGTAACCATATTGTTTGCTTTTACCTATTTGATATGTTCCAGTAATTCATTGAATGCCAAAAAACGATTCAAACAGGTAATAGAAATCTTATTTCTTTTAAAGTTTTCCTAAAATTTAAAAAAAAATTTAACACTTTCATATCAATTCTCAATTAATCATTTATATTTATGTAATTCATTAATAATTACTCTTTTGATATTAAAATTAATCAAAGACCAGTAAATGTGACATTTATTGAGAAAGTGTAATTATTGGAATTTTTTTTTTTCCTTTACATATGATTGCTCGAATTAAATAGCATTGATTACAGGCAGTTAAGTATAAAATAAAATTTCCATTAAATAGAATTATGAAATGTTTTGTAAATTTTAATTTTTTATTTTTAATTTCATTTTTTATTTTAAAGGATGGAAATTTTT